TGTACAGAAGCTTTTAATTTTGATGTAGTCCCATCTGTTTATTATCTCTTTCGTTTTCATTGCCCTAGGAGCTGTATCGGTAAAGATATTGCTTCGGCATATGTTTTATATTTTGCTGCCTGTGGATTCCTGTAATATATTTATGGTTTTCCATCTTGTGTTTAAGTCCTTTATCCATTTTGAATTTATTTTTTGTTTAAGTTGTAAGTTGGTCTAGTTTCATTTTTTTGCACATATCTGTCCAATTTTCCCAACACCATTTTTTGAAGAGACTGTCTTGACTCCATTGTATGTTCTTGCCTCCTTTGTCAAATATTAATTGAGCATAGTGGTTTGGGTTGATTTCTGTGCTCTCTATTCTATTCCATTGATCTATATGTCTGTTTTTATGCCAGTACCGGGCAGTTTTGAGAACAGTGCCTTTTGAGTACAGCTTGATATCTGGTATTGAAATCCCTCCTACTTTGATCTTCTTTCTCAGGATTGCTGCAGTTATCCAGGGTCTCTTTTTATTCCAGATGAATTTTTGGAGAGTTCTTTCTAGGCCTGTGAAATATGCCATTGGTATTTTAATGGGGAGTGCATTGAATCTATAGATTACTTTGGGTAGTATGGACATTTTAATGATTTTGATTCTACCAATCCATAAACATGGTTTGTTCTTCCATCTGTTTATGTCTTCCTCTATCTCTCAAAGAAAGAATCTTAAAGGCAGCAAAAGAGAGACAGAAAGTTACACACGAGATTACTAGCTGATTCCTGAATGGAAACACTCCAAGCCAGAAAGGAGCTACAAGAAGTATTCAAAGTAATGTAAAACAAAACCCAAGACTACACTATCCAGGAAGGCCATCATTTAAAATTGAAAAGAAAATAAAGAACTTTCCAGATAAAAAAAAAAAAAGGCTAAAGAGTACATTATTACCAAAACAGCATTGTAGGAAATGTTAAAGGGAGTGTTTTAAGAAGAAGAAGAAGAAGAGAGAAGAGAGAGAGAGAGAGAGAGAGAGAGAGAGAGAGAGAGAGAGAGAGACATAGTTATAAAGAAATATTGGAAATAAATATCTATCAATAATAACCTTAAATATAAGTAGATTAAATGCTCCAATCAAAAGCCATAGGTAGCTAAATGAATTAAAAACATGGACCATATATATGCTAACTACAAGAAATCAATATCAGAACAAAATATTCAGACAGACTGAAAGTTAAGGGATGGAAAAACATATTCTCTGCAAAAGGAAATGAACCATAAATTTGGGGTAGCAAAACTCATATCTGACAAAATAGACTTCAAAACAAAGGCCAAAACAAGAGACAATGAAGGTCACTAAATAATAGTAAAGGGATAATTCCAACAAGAGGCTATAATCTTGATGAACTTATATGTAATATATATATATATATATATATATATATATATATATATACACACACACACACACACACACACAATGAGTGGCCAGATTATTATGTCCACCTGACATTTGTAGGCAAATTAGCTATAATTTCACGCTAAAGTTGCTAGAGGGCCAGACCATTATAAATAGGGAAGCAGGTTGTTTACCATGACAGTAGAAGTGATTTTTTTCTGATCATATGGGTAAACAATGCAATTTAACAGCCTTTGAACATGGGATGGATATATATATATATATATATATATATATATATATATATATATCCTATCTAATGATAGGCAAATGTGGTAATTGACCGTATCTTCGCTATGCCGCCCATTGGCTAATCAGCACAATATACAAATTAACCACCAACAAAGAAGGCGGCTAATTTGAATACTGCAGGCAGGGCAGGACAGCACGAGCCACCAGCATGAGCCGCCATCCAGGCCCCTGTGTGCGACTCCAGAAGCCGTCTGCCTGCCGCCCATGATTGGATCCAATCCCGGGCCGCAGGCCAGCCCCAGAAGCCCCAGAAGCCACCTGATATGATAGTAACTCTATCAGTAAGCACTCTGAAAGTCAGTGGCATAAATGCACCAATTAAAAGACAGATTATGAGGGTGAATCAAAAACAAAACCCACTTTAAATATAAAGACACATATAGATTAAAAGTAAATGAATTAAGCTGCAGCCTGTTTTGCTCAGTGAATAGAGCATTAGCCTGTGGACTGAAGGGTCCCAGGTTTGATTCCAGTCAAGGGCATGTACCTCAGTTGCTGGCTTGATCCCCAGTCCCTATCAGAGCATGTGCAGGAGGCAACCAATCAATGTGTCTCTTCCTTTCCCTTCACTCTCTCTAAAATTCAATGAAAAAATATCCTTGGGTGAAGATTAACAAAAACAAAGTAAATGGATTAAGTAACATTAAAGAGATTATAAGAAAACTATATTCCAAATTGTGTTAGTTGTATAATGGTTATGTTTAAATTATTAACACCTAAGAAATTGGGTGAATGGTATATATAATATGCTGTAGTATTTTATAGTTTTTTTACATGTATGAGATTATTTCAAATTAAAATATTAAATAATTAAAAATTAATAAATATTAATTGAAATGTATCTGCATTACATGAAAAATCTCCTAATTGCTTCTAGCATAATTTATTAAATTGTGCTAAAATTTACAAGGGTTCAATTAAAAAATATCTTAATTCTAAATGATATAATAGGAAATATGTAATAGTGCAGTTATAAACACTTATCTGAAAATAAAAATTTAAAGAAGTGAATTTAAAGAAGGCATTAGCCAGAGAAAATATATGCGCAACCCATGGATACAGACAACAGTATGGTGATGGCCAGAGAGAAGTGGGGGGCAAGAGCTGGGTAGAGGGGGCAAAGGGGGGAAATAGGGACATCCTATATAATAATGATAAAAGGCTAATATGCACATTGACTGAATGGCAGAATGACCAGTTGCTATGATGCTCACTGGCCACCAGGGGGCAGACACTCAATGCAGAAGCTGCCCCCTGGTGGTCAGTGCACTTCCATATCGGGAGTGCCACTCAGCCAGAAGCTGGCTAATGGCTGGCCAGCACAGTGGTGGTGGCAGGAGCCTCTCCCACCTCCGTGGCAGCACTAAGAATGTCCAACTAACGGTTTAGACCCAATCCCTTGGGGGCTTAAGCCTTTAGTCGGACATTCCCTGAGGGCTCCCTGACTGCCAGAAGGATGTCTGACTGCAAGCTTAGGCCTGATCCCCCAGAGAGTGGGCCTAAGTCGACAGGTGGACATCCCCCAAAGGGGTTCTGGACTGCGAATGGGCGCAGGCCAGGTTGAGGGACCCGCTCCCCCACCCCCTGAGTGCACAAATTTTTGTGCTCCAGGCCTCTACACCTGATGTTTGTAGGCAAATTAGCCATACACTGCATTGTATGGGATATGGAAGCCGAAGGCTTGTTTGAACACCTTTGCTGTCTGCAGTTACCAAGATAAAACATCTCCAATTAGCACAGTAACACAAGGATTGGAGAGTTGCGCATTGGAAAAAAGTCATATGGTCCAATGAATCACGTTTCCAGTTGCATCATGCAGATGGCAGAGTGAGAATTTGGCGGAAACAGCATGAAAGCATGCACCCCACATGCATGAGTACAACCCTTCAAGCTGGTGGGGGCAGTATTATGGTTTGGAGCTTGTTTTCCTGGCATGATTTGGGCCCTTTAATTCATGTGGAACAACGTCTGAATAGCACAACATACCTAAGTATTATTGCTGATCAAGTTCATCCTATCATGTCGATAGCGTATCCCAATGGAGATAGCTTCCTCCAACAAGACAATGCGCCATGCCACGGTGCTCCTATTGTGCAGAACTGGTTTCAAGAACATGAGGGAGACTTTACCTTGCTTAGGTGGCCCCCACAATCACTAGATCTCAATCCAATTGAGCATTTGTGGGATGAAGTTAAAAGAGCCATCAGGCAGCTGGTTCCACAACCATCAAATATGGTGTCAGATTCCTCACATCACCTTTCAACATTTCGTGGAGTCAATGCCTAGAAGAATCACCGCAGTATTGAAGGCAAAAGGTGGCCCAACAAAGTACTGATGGGGTGGTCATAATAACTGATGAGGTGGTCATAATAATCTGGCCACTCACGTTCAAATATATCCCACATTCAAAGGCTGTTAAATCGGACGTTCAGGTGGTCATAATAATCTGGCCACATATATATATATATATATATATATATATATATATATATATATTCAGAAGACTTTAAGGGAGAGGTTAATAGCAATACAGTCATAATAGGGGACCATAACACCTCACTGGCACCACTGGATAGACATTCTAAACAAAAAATCAATATGGAAATAGCATCATTAACAACACACTAGATCAGCAGTGGGCAAACTACAGCCAGCGGGCCTGATCCGGCCCGTTTGAAATGAATAAAACTAAAAAAAAAAAAAAGACCGTACCCTTTTATGTAATGATGTTTACTTTGAATTTATATTAGTTCACACAAACACTCCATCCATGCTTTTGTTCCGGCCCTCCCGTCCAGTTTAAGAACCCATTGTGGCCCTCGAGTCAAAAGGTTTGCCCACCCCTGCACTAGATCAAAGAGATTTTTGGATATTTACAGAGCATTTCATCCCAAAGAGGCAGAATACACATTCTTCTCAAGTATACATGGATCATTTTCAAGGATAGACCACATGCTCGAACACAAAATAAGTCTTAAAAAATTCAAGAAAATTGAAATTATATCAAGCATTTTCTAGGATAACAATGGCATGAAACTAGAAATCAAGTACAATAAAAATAAGCTAAAAAAATTCACACATGGAGAGTAACTAGATTGTTATTAAACAGTGAATGCATTACCAATGAGATCAAGGCAGAAATCAAAACATTCCTGGAAACAAACAAAAATGAACACACAACAACTCAAAATCTGTGAGACACAATGAAAGCAGTCCTGGGAGGGAAGTTCATAAATTTACAGGCATGCCTCAAAAATTAAGAAAAATAACTAATAAACGATCTAATCTTACATCTACAAGACAAGGAAGAGAACAGTAAGAAAAGCCCAGTGCTCACTAAAATTGGAATGATACAGAGAAGATTAGCATAGCCGCTGTGCAAGGATGACACACAAATTTGTGAAATGTCCCATATTTTTAAATCCTAAACGAACTAGTATAAAAATAAGAAATAGAAAGGGAAGAAGGAACACAGGCGTAAAGAATAAAAATGGCTACAAACAAGTACTTATCCTATATAATAAAGAGCTAATATGCTAATTAGACTGGAGAGAAGAACGATCTTCCAGAATGGCCTTCCTGAACAACCTTCTGAAACAACCAGTGGGCAGGGGGCTGGGCAGCGAGGCCATGAGGCAGCCGGGACCCTGAGGCAGCCAGGGCTGTGGGGGCCTACTCTTGCACGAATTTTGTGCATTGGGTCTCTAGTCAATAATAAGCTCAAATGTAAATGGATTAAATGCTCCAATTAAAAGACATGGAGTGGCTGAATGGATAAGAAAACATGACCCATATATATACTGTTTATAAGAGCCCCATCTCAGAACAGGGGACTCACACAGACTGAAAGTAAAGGGATGGAAAAATATTTTTCAGGAAAATGGAAATAAAACAAAATCTAGGGTAGCAATACTTATATAAGACAAAATAGATCTCAAAGAAAGGCCATATCAAGAGATAAATAAGGCCACTTCATAATTCTAAAGGGATCGATACAACAAGAGGATATAACTCTGGTAAACATATATGCACCCAATGCAGGAGCACCCAAATACATAAAAAAAAAAAAAAACTGTTGGGAGATATCAAGAGAGGGATCAACAGCAATACAATCATAGTAGGGGACTTTAACATCCCATTTACATCACTGGATAAATCTTCTAGACAAAAAATTAACAAAGGAACTGCAATCCTAAACAACTCACTAGATCAGATGAACTCAATTTATATCTTCAGAACATTTCACCCCAGAGCTACGAAATATACATTCTTCTCAAGTTCACATAGGACATTTTCAAAGACAGAGCACATGGTAGGACATTAGAAATCAACTACAATCAAAAATAATAAAAAATCAAACATTTGGAGGCTAAATAGCATGTTATTAAACAATGAGTAGGTTACCAAAGAGATCAAAGAAGAAATGAAAAACATCCTGGGACACTTACCTGGCAGGGGAGATACCACAATCACAAAGGTGGTTTTCCCAAGGTGAGGCTTATCCATTGCACTCCAGAGGTGCTGAAAACAAAACAAAACAAACAAACAAACAAAACTAAAAACAAACAAAAGAAAACATCCTGGAAACAAATGACAATGAAAACACAACAATCCATAATCTATGGGACCCAGCAAAAGCAATCCTGAGAGGGAAGTTCATAGCATTACAGGCCTACCTCAAAAGACAAGAGAAACTGGTAATAAATAATCTAACTCTACACCTTAAGGAATAAGAAAGAGAGTAACAAGAAAATCCAGAGTAAGCAGAAGAAAGGGACATTTTCAAAGACAGACCACATGGTAGGACACAAATTCAAGAAAATTAAAATCATATCAAGCATCTTCTCAGACCACAATGGCATAAATAATAAAGATCAGAGGGGAAATAAATGACATAGAGACCAAAAACAAACAAACAAAAAAAACCCCACAAACAAAACAAAATAAAAAACAATACAAACAATCAATAAAACCAAGAGCTGGTCCTTTGAAAGGATAAACAATATTGATGAACCTCTAGCTAGGATCACCAAGAAGCAAAGAGAGAGGACTCAAATAAACAAAATCAGAAATGAAAGAGGTAAAGTAATAACAGACCCCAAAGAAATAGAAAGGATTGTAAGTAAGTACTATGAACAACTCTATTCCAACAAACTAGACAACATAAAAAAATGGACATATTCCTAGAAATACACAATCTTCCAAAACTCAATCAGGAAGAATAAAAAAATGTGAATAGGCCAATAACTGCAGAGGAAATTAAAGCAGTAATCAAAAAACTTCCAGGAAACTAAAGCCCTGGAAGGCTTCACAGGGGAGTTTTAGCAAAAATTTAAAGAAAAACTAAAACCTATCCTCCTCAGATATTCCAAAAAATTCAAGAGGAAGGACCACTTCCAAGTTCTTTCTATGAAGCCAACATTACCCTAATCCTAAAACTAGATACAGACACTACAAAGAGAGAGAATTACAAGCAAATATCCTTGATGAACATAGATGCTAAAGTGCTCAACAAAATTCTAGCAAATTGGATCCAGCATTACATTGGAAAGATCATACACCATGACCATGTCGGATTTATTCTGGGGATGCAAGGCTGGTACAATATCTGCAAATCAATGCATGTTATACATCACATAAACTAATGGAGAGCCACAAATCACATAGTCATATCAATTGATGCAGAAAAAGCATTTGACAAATTCCAACATCTGTTCTTGATAAAAACTCTCAACAAAGTGAGAATAGAGGGTTCATACCTCAATAGAATAAAAGCCTTATATGACAAAACTACAGCCAACATCATACTCAATGGGCAAAAACTAAAACTATTTCCCCTAAGAATAGGAACAAGGCAGGGATGCTCACTTTCACCACTCCAATTTGACATAGTACTGGAAGTGCTAACCATAGCAATCAGACAAGAAGAAGAAATAAATGGCATGCAAATTGGAAAAGAAGAAGTAAAATTGTCATTATTTGCAAGAGGACATGATATTGTACATAGAAAACCCTAAAGATGCCGTAAAAAAAACTACTAGACTTAATAAATGAATTAGACAATGTAGCAGGATACAAAATTAACACCCAGAAATCTATGACTTTTTATACACCAATAATGAACTCACAGAAAGAGAAACTAAAATACAATCCCAATTACCATTGCAACATAAAAAATAAGATACCTAGGAATAAACTTAACTAGGGAGGTGAAAGACCTGTACTTAGAAAACAATAGGGCATTGAAAAAAGAGATAGAGGAAGACATAAACAAATGGAAGAATATACTGTGTTCATGGATTGCTAGAATCAACATCATTAAAATGTCCATACTACCCAAAATAGTCTATAGATTCAATGCAATCTCCATTAAAATACCAATGGTATATTTCATGGACCTAGAAGAAACACTCCAAAAATTCATTTGGAATAAAGAAAGACCCCAAATAGCTGCAGCAATCCTGAGAAAGAAGAACAAAGGTGGAGGGATCTCAATACTAGATATTAAGCTGTATTACAAAGCCACTGTTCTCAGAACTGCCCGGTACTGGCACAAGAACAGACATATAGTCCAATGGAACAGAAAAGAGAACCCAGAAATTGACCCAAGCCATTATGCTCAATTCATATTTGACAAAGGAGGCAAGAGCATACATTGGAGTCAAGACAGTCTCTTCAATAAATGATATTGGAAAAATTGGGCAGATATATGCAAATATATATGAAACTAGACCACCAACTTACACCATACACAAAATAAACTCAAAATGGATAAAGGACTTAAACGCAATATGAGAAACCATAAAAATCTCAGAATACACCACAGGCAGAAAAATATCAGACATATGTCATAGCAATATCTTTACCGATACTGCTCTTAGGCCAAAGGAAATTAAACAGAAAATAAACAAATGTAACTACATCAAAATAAAAAACTCCTGCACAGCAAAAGAAACCATCCATAAAACAACAAGAAAGGCCACTGCATGGGAGAACATATTTGCCAATTTTATTTTCTATAAGGTTTTAATCCCAAAAATTTATAGAGAACTGATACATCTTAACAAAGGGAAGATAAACAATTCAATCAAAAAATGGGCAAGGACCTAAATAGACACTTTTCAGAACTGGACATACAGAAGGCCAGGAGACATATGAAAATATGCTCAAAGTCACTAATCATCTCAGAGATGCAAATCAAAACGACAATGTGGTACCATCTCACACCTGTCAGAATGGCTATTATTAACAAGTTGACAAACGACAAGTCCTGGGGAGATGAGGAGACAATGCACTCTCTTGCACTGCTGGTGGGGATGCAGATTGGTGCAGACACTGGGGAAAACGGTATGGAGTTTCCTCAAAAAATTAAAAAATGGAACTCCCATTTGCCCGAGTAATCCCACTTTCAGGGATATATCCCATGTAATCAGAAACACCAATCAGAAAAGATATATGCACCCCTATGCTGCTAGCAGCACAATTTACAGTAGCTAAGATTTGGAAACAGCCTAAGTGCCCATCAGCAGGTGAGTAGATTAAGAAACTGTGCTACAACTACACAATGGACTACTATGCTGCTGTAAAATGAAAGAACTCTCAGCATTCCCAACAGCATGGATGGACATGGACAGCATTATGCTAAGTGAAATAAGCTAGTCAAATAAAGATAAATATCACATGATCTCACTCATTTGTGGAATATAATGAACAACATAGTCTGATAAACAAAAGTAGATCCAGAGACATAGAAGTATTGAACAAATCGTCAAACCTCAGAACGAAGTCAGGGGAGGGTTGGGAGAGGGGTAAGAAATCAACCAAAGTACATGTATGCACGCATATAAGCACAATCAATGTGCACCGACACTAGGATGTAAGGGCATGTGCTGGGTGGTGGGAGCAGCTGGGGAGAGGTCAATGGGGGAAAATGGAGACTTATGCAATACTTTAAACAATAAAGAGTTAAATAAAAAATAGAATTGACTATACAGAACAATATTTGGTAAATAGTAAAAAAGCACTTGGCAATAAAAGTAATCAGTTATAAACCATCCATGAAAATAAAGAAGTGGTAAGCCCAGAGTAAGTAAAGGGAAGGAAATAATAAAGACCACAGGAGAAATAAATGATGTACAGACTAAAAAACAATACAAAAGATCAATGAAACCAAGAGCTTGTTCTTTGAAATTATAAATAAGATTGATAAAATTTTAGCCAGGCTTATTAATAAACAAACAGAGAGAACCTAAAGAAATAAAACCATAAATGAAAGAGTCTAAATAACACCTGACATCACAGAATTACAGCGGATTGTAAGAAAATACTTTGATCATCTATTTGCCAACCAACTGGAAAACCTGGGCAAAGAGGACAAATTCCTAGAACAGACAATCTGCCAAAACTCAGTCAGGAAGAA